TCAGCAGGATAATGAAACACAGGGTGCAGATTGAATGCATTTGAGATCCTCTCTGCTCATTTCATGGTCTTTGCACAGTATGAACTTTCAATTAAAAATAACCTTTTAGCCCTTTGTTTCAAATAATAATCCTTTTCCTGTAACTCAGCACACTGGAGCCAGACACAAACAAAATAGAGCCAAATCTGGTCTGAACTTCCTCCATTCATCTCAAGGGATGTTAAGTGACCATTTAAACGCATACTTTTAAAGACAGTTTAATCAGAACAAAATTATACAGCCCTTGTTATTGAAATCACATCTTTCTGGCTTGTAATCTCCTGTAACTCTGAAATAAAATGTTCATGTAGAAAAGATAGTATCTTTCATAGGTAAACTACTACTGAATGAAGGCAGTTAAACAGTATCCTGTAGTAGTGTGTTATGAGTTCAAAGTTCTTAGATACTCTTATTTCAGTTATTTTGCATTTCTCACAGATGCATAGTGCCTGCAATCCTATTATTGTGGTGAATCTTGTTTATAACAGATTGTGCTTTTAGAGAAAATTACAAGATGAAAGCAGCAGATCTCATAAAACTCCAAATTGTACATTATTGCCCTTTGTAATCAGAGGTACACTTGTTAGTCTTATTTATTTACTCAAACTGGGTTAGCTTCCCTTCTTAGGTTCTCTAGACCTTGTATTGGTGTTTTGGAGAGTATAAACAGAGCTTGGATATGACTTTTTTTTCCAGTCCCAGGAGGCCCAGGTGCTCAAACATCTGGCAGAAAAGAGAGAACATGAGCGAGAAGTCCTACAAAAGGCTTTGGAGGAGAACAATAACTTCAGTAAAATGGCAGAGGAAAAGCTGATACTGAAAATGGAACAGATCAAAGAAAACCGTGAAGCTAATTTAGCTGCTCTTATTGAACGTCTTCAAGAAAAGGTAATCATGTCATTACACCTTACTGGAGTAATTACATTACTCCATGCTGGAGTCTAAAAATTTCAATATTGAATAAGTAGTGCTGGGTCATCCTGTTTTGGGGCACCTTCACTCAAGGTATCTTAAATGAGTCTGATTTCTTGAGGGTGTGTGCTCAGAGCTTCCTAAAAGCCTGGTCCTATTAAGATGTTTCAAGCAAGGCACCCAAAAATAAAACAATTTTGAAAAATCTTTAACTCTGTCTATAATGACATAACTATTACTCTGCTATTCTGTACTTTACTTTTTGCAGTCCTGTTTATCTCTTCCCTTTGCACTGTCTGAGAAGACTAAATCTTTAGTCTTGAAGTCAAAGGCCCAGAATTCAAAAAGCAGAAAGAAAGTCAAAGAAAGATAAGGGGCATGTCTACACATGTGCTTTAATAACTATGTAGGCACACTCCTTAAGTTTAATTTCTAACTTGTTAACAAGGCTTATGAACAAAACAAAGAAAGGTTGTTGGGTCTTTGTTGTTTAGTCCTTGGCTTCTAAGAGGACACTATGGGGAAAGAGAAAAATCATATTAATTTTAGGGGTGCACCAAGATTTTGGGGGCCAATACTGACACCCGATATTTAAGGAGGCATATTGGCCTATACCAATCCAATTTCTGATACAGCTGCCTCCAGCTGGTAGTTCCAGTGTGGTGGAAGGGGAGGGAAAGGGCATGGGGAGGCAGAACAATGTCCCCCACGATGAGGGAGGGGGCAGGGACAGGGGCAGGGGCTGCCCAGGCGGGGCGGGGGGGCGGAGCCATGGCTCGTGGGGTAGGCAGCTCCAACTGCTGCTTCCGCCCCAGGAGGGCATGGTGGAGCGTGTGTCCCCCAGATCTGCGCAGGGTGGGGTGGGGTGGGCTGCAGCTGAGGCTGTGTGGGGCTTCTCTCAGCGGGGGCTGAGCTCAGAGCAGGTGACAACGGTGCTGGGAGGATGCTGCATCCACCCCAAATTTCACCGCCGCTCTGCTCCCACCACTGCTGCCACCAGCCACAGCCCTGGCTCTTCTCAGCACATGGGTGGAGGTGGGGCATTGAACTC